CCTTATTAGGAAAAATTTTTTTTCCTTATTGGGTCAAAACCCATTATATTAAAACATCAAAGATGTTTTTGTTGGGATTAAATTATTCTCTAATTAATGATTTATTGCCATTTATTAAAGCAATTTTAATTAATTGTACACTATCTGCAAAAATTATGTAAATGCTACATTTTAGTGCTATAAATATTTTTTTCATTTTGCAAAATGTATTAACCCATTAACGCCCACCAGGACGCAAAACGTACCAAGATTTCATGACTCTTATTTTAATATTTTGTAAAATAAATAATATAAAATTTTAATTCTGCTTTCTAAATCTGAACCAACGATAATTATGATACTTATATAATTATGACATTTTTTATACAAAGATAAAAAAGAGACTAACACAACATGTGGTTTGATTAAAAACAAGTGACGCACATATATATGCCACATTGAATACACAATTTTTGTGTCCTTTTGTTGCACTTTGCATGATAGTGGCTATATTTTTCGAGGCAAAATACAAAAAAAAATTTGTAAATAAAATTTTAAAAAAACTGGCTTTTTTGCACTTCGACCTCCTGGTGGTAAGAGCAACGATAAACATATTATTGTTCCGATGTTAGATTCGTAATCAGCATCCTCAATAACCCCGGAATGACCATTTTCAAGCAAATACAATCACTTTTTAAAAAATATGTCCGCCATATATGATCCGCCATTTTGAGTTTTGAAAAAGTGATATCAGATTCGTAATCAGCGATCCCAAAAACCCTCGAGTAACTATTTTCAAGCAAATCCAATCACTTTTTAAAAAATATATCCTCCATATTGGAACCGCCATTTTGAATTTTAAAAAAGTAACATCAGATTTGTAATCAGCGACCCCAAAAACCCCCGAGAAACTATTTTCAAGCGAATCCGCCATCTTGAATTTAATAAAAAGCAATTATGGAATTTTATAGCTGAGAGTTCGAGGACGCGATATTTTGTGCTTTGGAGGCCATATTCTTTTGTTTTCCATGTCAAAATAATAATTGAAAAAAAAATTTTTCATAAAAAAGTGTGTTTTTTTGCAATAAAAATGTTATAAATTTTTTTGAGATAATTATAAACAAATTTTAGCTTCATATTCAGAAAGAGCGATAAATTTTACGTCGGAAATGGAAAAAAATGGAAAAACGTCACACTGAATAACATGCCCTTAAAAGTAAAATTTAATTAACTTTCCAAAATCATTAAAAGATTTCTTGACTTTCTCTTGTTTAATAAAATTAATATAATTTTGGAAATACTTTACATGTTTTAATGTTCTTTGGATAAAGCTGAAAGAAGCATTCAGTTTATTTTAATACAATTAATGTCAATAGTATTAATTAATGCTAGTAGTATTTAACATTAAAATCTACAAGTAAATATGCAACTAAAAAAGCCAAACATGACAGAATTTTATGTATTATCCTAACTTAAATGCTTGGCCATTTCTGGTTAAAAAAGTATCAAGCTAAATCAAAAATTGTCTTTTTTAAAACATTTACAATATAAATTTTTTTTAAATTTTTAATTTTTACTCATAGTAATCATAGTAATACAACACTATCCTACCTAATTTTTTTTACACAAAAAACATTTTTATAATAAAGTTTAAAAATTAAAAAATTATATTATTTATATTAATTTATTTTTAAATTTAAATTTATAAGAAAATACAAAATTTTTATAAAATAAAAAAAATTTGAATATTAGTCAGTTAAGGGGGGAAACCACATTAGAACGCTGTTTTTTTCCGTTTTTCGCGAATTTTTTTGAATGAAATAAAACATTTCCACTATGTTGTTCATATATTTAACTGTAATTCATATTTTTTATAGGCTTTTATATAAAAAATCTTCCATATTGGGAGCTATTGCATATAGAGCTGCTCCGCCGGAGTTCATGACTGCCGTGCAGTCCTGAGCCCACAAATTTTGTCCGAAAGCAAAAAATCAAGTTTAATCATATTTTATAAATATTTTATTATTAAGTGAACTAACTTTTAAGTGAAAATATTAAAAATTGAAAAATTGACACTACTTTTAAAAAAAAATTCGATTTTTTGCCTACTTTTTTGCAACTTTTTTTATTTTAAAAAAGGTACTCAAAAATTTTTTTTTCTTTTCAAGTTTAGTTCACTTAATAATAAATTTAATAACGAACAATTTCCAATTTTTCATTTTAAAATCGGTCAATAACTTTTTGAGCTACACTGTACGGCAGTTTTAAAAATCCTGTTTTGAGAAAAACGCATTTGAAAAAATAGTATCAAAAATTCATATTTATACAAAAAAATTTTTTAAAGTGATTACACTTTAATCGGCTATTTCAACACTATATATATCCTTTCATGTGCTTCATAAGTAGCATGTAAGTCTAATAATTCCTCTTTTCGTGACTTTCTGCTCTCCTTAGTCTCAAAAGTGCTACGCTTATTCTACTAATCTACGGTAACCTGGAGCGCGCTCCGTTCATCGCTAGTACAGCAAGGACTTCGAATTTTGCTCTAAAAACTTTGTTAGCCTATTTTTGAATACCTTAACTAACAATTTATGTAAAAAAGAAAAAATCGATTTTTTCAGACGTCTAGTGTTTCCCCCCTTAAGTCATTTTTAGTTTTATTTAATTATTTTAACATTAAATACTATTATAAAAATACTTTGAAATTAACAGTACAGGGTCACTCTAAGCTTTAGATTTTCACCAATTTTTAGGAATTTAAAGTTAAAAATCACTTATCAAAATTACTTTCAAAATAAGTCAAACACATGATTCTGAAAGTGGCACCTTATTATTATGGCACCTGTTTATTACCTTCAAGACTCTAATTTTGAACTGAAATAAAAAATATTCTTTTTTTGTTTAAGACAACATAAACTTTTTTATAATAAAAAACTCGGTACTTGTTTAAGATTTATTAAAAAAATATTAAACCATGTAAAGTATTACTGAAATTATATTAATTTTTTAATAAAACAAGGCAAACTCAAGGACGAGATCAAGCATTTTTAAAATGATTCTAGAAAGTTATTTAAATTTCTTTACAAGTTTAATTGTTGAAAAAGTAGATAATTTTAGTGACTTAGACGGGAAAGTTGTTAATTTATTACTTGCATTTCTAAATTACAAAAAAAAATCATTTTATATCATTAAAAAGTAGTATTTCACACAATTTTTAAAAACTTACCTCCTTATCCTTATTTTTAATCACAAAAATTTTTTTCGTCTTATTTTTTTTAATTCTGAAAAGAGAAAAAAAGTGTTCTACACTTTACACTTTTATTTTTCTGTATTATATACTGCAAAAATCTGTTAATAAACTGTAACTACACTGTAAAAAAAGAGAGTTAAATTTTAACTTCCCAGGGGATTCTATAAAAGTGGCACCTATTGTTGAGTTAATGCCAGGGGAGTTAAATAAAGAGAGTTAAAACTTCACACCCAAATGCTAACTCCCCAATGAAAAAATAACTCGCGCGGGTGTTGAATGAAGGGAGTTAGAAATTAACTCTCTTTTGGAGTTGATTTTCAACTTGAAAAATTTAACTCCAAACTCCCGAGTCCGTTAACTCCCTAAATTTTTTACAGTGTATATATGTATATACTCAAGTATAAAATAGACTACCAATGCAACTCTCTCTCTCTCTCTCTCTCTCTCTCTCTCTCTCTCTCTCTCTGCTCACTGGTCTTTCAATAGACTGCCTACTGGTTGAAAGAAACCCTTCAGACAATAGGCCAGGTACTCGAGCAGACCTTTCGTCCCTGTTTATAACGCAGAAAATCTAACGCTATTGCTTTCTTCCTCTTTCCAAATAGAAATAACATAAATCGGTCTCTGTTTATAACGCAGAAAATCTAACGCTATTGCTTTCTTCCTCTTTCCAAATAGAAATAACATAATTCGGTCTCTGTTTATAACGCAGAAAATCTAACGCTATTGCTTTCTTTCTCTTTCGAGGATAAGTAACATTAGACTGTCTCTCTTTACCTAATTTGCATATCTACTCGTTTCATATTAAGGATTCTATGAAACAAAAATTCAAACAAAATTCAATAATAAAAATTTATAAATTCTGCCTACAATTACAAGGACAAGTTTTTCCTATTCCCTAAATTAACTATTTTCTAACTAAATAAATATTCTTCATAAATATAAATTATGCAATTATTGATTTATTTAGGATATTATAAATTATAATATTGAAAAATGCTCAACATTACTTTAATTTACTTAAAGAAATCTATTTATTTCTCTGAAAAATTAACTAAATAATTAATTTAAATGAATTAATTATTTCCTATTATAAGTAATAACTTGGGTGTATTAGGATCAATATTTATTGAATCTTTCAAACTGCCACATCGATATAGCCTATTACTATATGAACACAGCTCATAAGAATATTCAATAAACTTACGATTTGCTTTTTATACCATTTAAGGATTCAGATTATGAGGTGGAACAAAGATTTCTCAATAGCCCCTCAACACTTTCACCATGGCTTGACTTTGTAGAATTTTTAAAATATAATTAATAATTTAATGATTAATAATTATATTATTTATTAGGAAAAACTAATTGTATATCGTTTTTATAGTACAGGTAGAACAAAGATTTCTCAATAGCCCCTGTACTAATTATGTTATGTGTATAAATGTAGTATAAAAATTATAATCCAGGTGGAACAAAGATTTCTCAATAGCCCCTGAATTACAATTTAATTGTATTACCTTTGTTAATTGCTTTCAAAATGAGAGAGCGACGCTTCTATTTTCAGGGTTTATATAGTCGTGATCAATCCCCAGATTTACAATTCTTGTATAAAATTCAAAAACTATATAAGTGTACGTAAAACTCTTTCCTTTTATTGACTGAAATTCAAAACTTTCCCCTACCCTTTAGGGACGCTCAATTTTGCCATGCATTTTTTACCGCTAATTCTATCCCACTTTTCACTTTTCAGAAAGCGTCTATTTCTTTTCTCCAATAATATTCAAATTTTCAAATGAGGATAGAGATATATTTTCTCTCTTTCTGGTCGTCAACGTATCTAACGTTTCCCCGAGAACAATACCATTGTATAGCTGTCAATCACTTTTCTCTATAAATTTATTTTATTTCTTTAAACTTAAATAGTTCTTTAAATAATAATATTTTCATCATTTTATATTTTGTTAACAATATCCATTAATTCTTATCTATTTATTGATATAAATTTTACCATTACTTTATTTATTCTAACAAATTATAATTAAACAATTAAATAATAAAATTAATACTATTTATAAAAAACAAAATATACATTTTAAATAGAAAATTAACATTGTGTTAATTTTTAATAATTTATTTTTTTAATATTTATTCAAATTTCTAATTAATTTTATAAATTTGAAATATCAAATTTTCTTTTCTCTTTCCTAACCTTGGCCTTGAGTCAGCTGAGCCTTTTTCATACTTAGGTGTTTATCTCAGTACATTTGTACTCAATTAACCTTATATTGAATTTCCTATACTTTTAAATTTAACAGAATTATATTTTTTTTATCTACAAAATTTAATTATATTAATTTATTTATAATTATTAAATTTTTAATTTTGATCATTGAAATACCGTTTCATGTCTATAATTGCGAGGCACAAATTTACCTTTATCATAATTTTGAGCAGTACTGAAAGAAGCATCATTGCTGATAATGATTTCACTGTCGATTGGTTCCAGAGTTTTCCGTGCATGATCTGCAACCAATTTGACAAAATTAACTGTTGCAAATCACAACCAAAAAAGTAATATTATATTTAGAGAAAGATTTTTCTATATTTTTTTAATTTGATTTTCTCACCTTCGGCACATTCTTCGGCGTATTCCAAATTTGCATCAAAATTAATTTGAGACAAAGACTTTCCTTGGTACTCCACAGGCAATGATCCTCTTTCCATTAACATCAGCAACTTGGAAACTTTGGTTGTCTGGTATAAGTCAACTGACAATCTTAAAATTAAAAAGGACATTTGATTTTATACATGTAAACTAATGAACTGAACTACAATTTGTCAAAATTAATAACAAATAAATTAAAGATATTAATTTTTTATTTTTTAAAAATTAAAATAATATTATAAATTAATTTTTATTTAATTAAAAAAATTTTGAATACATATTATTTTTCTAAGTATTACTAGATAATATTTTATTAAATAAATTATTCTCTTACTCGTAAAATTCAGCGTGAGTCTTCTCTGTATGTCCCATGAACTTCGAAAATTGTCTCAATTCTTCTTTGGACATATTTAAGATTTGAGCAACTGTTGCTATTTGTTTTCTTAATTTATTACTTGACATTGCCTCAGGATATTGCAACTTAATTCTTTTAGTTAAGAATCGAATCGCCACATCGCCCTGTCCCCACTGAATTCTACTATCAGGAAGAGCAAATACATAGTCATTTTCAAGTGGAATATATTTTTTTCTTTCCACTAATAAAGTTTTGATTAATTTTTGCAACAGTTCCGGCACTAAAATAACCACAGCTCTTGATCTTTTTCCACTGTTGACTACACGTTTGTATTTTTTAGTCAGAACGTTTTCAGAGTCTGTTAACACTTTTTTAAAATCTGAAAAATTTGATGTCGATTCCTTTTCATAATTGTTTAATTTTAAATACTGTACGTCCCCTATTCTTCTTCTGTTAAAAAGAATAACCAAACCAAACCTCAACAAGCAAAAATTAACATAACAAAAAAATCTAAAAATTCAAATAATAATAATAATTGTAGAGAGATTTCATCAACTTCGGAAAACTAATAAACCTCGGGTTTGTAAATAAAAGCTTGCTTACTACAGATCCGAGGTCAATGACATTGATAAGTAAAAACAAAGAAATAGTTCCATCTGATTTGCGTGAAGAATTATGAAAAGGACAAATAATAGATGTTCATGATCATTTAGGAAGATGTCCGGTAATTGAATTTGAAATTGTAGATAAAAAAGTAAAAGCATTAATCGACACTGGTAGTCAAATAACTTGTATATCTGATAATTTTTATAATGAAAATATTGTAGAATTTGATAAATGTGAAAAACTACCAATTGTAGGTATGAGTATTGTAGGTGCAACCGGAGCACGTCCTATAAAAATAAACACTCAAGTTCTAGCAGATTTCAGAATGTGTGGTTATGATGGTCAATATGTATTCATAATTGTTCCTAAATTAAATTGTAATTGCATAATTGGGGCTGATATGCTAAAAGTTTTAAAAACAAAAATTGATTTTGAAAGTGATATCATTCAAGTAATGAGAGATGAGGAAGTTTTAACAATGGAAATGCTAAAAGAAAGCATAAATAATATTAAAATAATTAAAGAAAATAATAATGAATTTGAAAATAAATTCGAAACTAATTTGTCAGTTGAAAAAAATTTCGAAAATGAAATTACAACTGAAAATAATATTGAAAGTAATGATATCAATAAAGTAATTATAAATCAATTAAGTGGAATAGAATTTCAAGTAGATAGTCCTGGGGTAATTAATGAAATTATGGATACAAGTACCTATGATGATACACAATTTGAATTTGATATATCCGATGAGGAAATAAAAGATAAAATTAATGAATGTACTTTGTTGAACCAAAATGAGAAAGAAAGATTCTACAAACTTATATCGCGTTATAAAAATGTATTTTCGAAAAAACCGGGTAGAATTTCTGTATATGAACATAAATTAGAAGTTGATGATACGAAACCATTTTTTAAAAAAACCTATCCGATTCCAATGAAACTCAGAGAAAGAGCTATTGAAGAGCTTCAAAAATTAATAAAGTTAAAAATAATTAAAACAATGAATACATCTTATGTAAATCCGATTTGTGTTACAATTAAAAAAGATGGCACTATAAGATTTTGTTTGGATGCGAGAAAAGTGAATGAAGTATTGACTGATTCTTATGAACGCGCAGAAACAACAGAATTGTTATTTCAACGTTGTACGGGTGTGAAAATAATGTCTTCGTTAGATTTAGTCAGTAGTTTTTGGCAAATCCCATTAGAAGAGGATTCAAAAAAATATACGGGATTTATTTTCGAAGGTAAATGTTATGTTTTCAACGTCGTACCATTTGGTTTAAAAACTAGTACAAGTGCGTTAGTAAGAGCATTAGATCAGGTTTTGTGCGGTATAGGCGATTTTGTGATCACTTTCATAGACGACATGCTGTGTACATCACAAAGTATCGATGAACATCTATATCACCTTGAAAAAATATTTCATCGATTAGAGCAGCACAATATGACCATCAATTTTCAAAAATCTCATTTTTTTCGTCCAGAAATAAAATTTTTAGGACATATTTTATCGGCAAACGGGATAAAACCAGATCCAGATAAAATAAAATCAATTCATGATTTTCCGCGACCGAGAAATTTAAAAGAATTGAGAGGTTTTTTAGGTTTAATTAATTTTTATACTAAATTTGCTAAAAATCATGCAGAAGAAATTTTTCCTTTACTCCAATTATTAAAAACCGGAAATAAATGGGAATGGAATTCTTCTAAAGAGGAAGCATTTAATCGTGTGAAAATATTATTCTGTGAATATACTATTCTAAGTTACCCTGACCTATCTAAACCATTTTATTTACAAACAGATGCGAGTGACGTAGCGATAGGATCCGTGCTATATCAGTTAGACGAGGACGGACAACACTTACCTATAGCTTTCGCGAGCCGTACGTTGAAAGGAGCCGAGCTGACGTACTTTACGACGGAGAAAGAACTACTTGCGATTGTATGGAGTTTACTCAAATTGAAGGAAAAAATAATACTGTAGCTGATGCATTAAGTAGAGCACCAGTTTATGAAAAATCGGGAATGGATATAGAATCACACGAAGGTAAATTATTTTTGTATAATTTAGCAAAGAAACCATCTTCTCAATTGCGAAATAAATTAAAAAATATTAAATATGAACAAGAATCAGATTCAATTTCGAAACAGAAAATTGCAGATGTTAAATCGGGTAAAACAAAACGATTTTTGATAGATAAAAATTTATTATATTTTATTGCGGGAGATAATAAAAAATTATGTTTAACTAAAAGCTTAATTAACGACTTAATAGACGAGATTCACGAAATGTATGTACATGTAGGACCACAACGAGTTTTTCGTATGTTAAATGAGTATTTTTATTATCCGCATTTTTCCAAGGTTATTAGGCATAGAATAGCGAGTTGTGATTCATGCCAGAAAAATAAAGTTTCTAATCAGACTAGCTATTCTAAAATGAGAAATTATGCACCTACAAAACCGGGAGAGATTTTATCTATCGATTTTTACGGTCCTTTACCTGCTTCTAAAGGGGGATTTAAATACATCTTATCAACTATAGATGCATTTAGTAAATTTGTAAAATTATACCCTATTAGAAAAATAACTACAAAGGCGCTAATTAATAAAATTTTCAATCATCATATTAAAGAATTCGGAAAACCAGAAAAAATTATTTCGGACCACGGTACGCAGTTTACTTCAGGGATGTGGACTGATAAGTTAAAAGAAGAAGGGATACAACCGGTGTTTTCGTCAATTAGACATCCTCAAGGAAATATTGTCGAAAGAATTCACAGGAAGTTATCAAGATTTTTCAGAACTTTAACTAATGGTAGACACAATTCATGGTGGAATTGGGTGAAAATCATCGAAGATTGCATCAATGAAACACATCATGAAATTACGGAGTTTACACCAGTCGAGTTATATCTTAAGAAGAAACCAAAACGTGTGTGGGAAAAATGGTTAAATCTACCTCTTATTCCGGAGGATTTAGATTATGAAAGAAAATTAGAATTAGCGTATGATAATATCTGTAAAAAAGGAAAGAAACGAGCTGATAAGTTTAATATTTCGCATAAATTATCTGAATTCAAAGTTGGAGATCAAGTCCTACTTAAATTACTAAATAAATCTGATAAGGAGAATAAAATTATTGCGAAATTTCTTCAAGTTTATGAAGGACCTTACGAAATTAAAAAAGTCGTAAAAAAAGGTACTTATATTTTATGGGATCCGAAATCGAAAATCGAGAAAGGAATGTATCATAGTCAGGACTTGAAGAAATATATATCAAGAAGGAATAATAGTGAAAATAGTGAAAACTAAATTAACAAAACATGTGACAATTTGTAAATAAAAATAAAGTGAATTAATAAACAATAAAAAATAATAAAGTAAATAAATAATAAATAAAGTGCAAAGTGATAAACAATATTAAATTAATATTAAAATTATTTAAAACAAAAATAATTTTAAACTATAATATTAATTTAATTATATCATAGTGTGTGTAAATAAAAGTGATAGAGATAAGTAGTTGATATTTTGATCTCATCAATATCAACTAATACTAAAAAAAGAAGTAGAAGACAACATAAATGAAAGTGATAGAGACACTAAGTGTTAGTTCGCGTAGTTTTTAAAATAGAATATAAGATATTCAACATGCATAAAAAAATAAATTAAAAAAAAAATAATAATAATAAAAAAATAATTATAATAATAATTGTAAATATAGTTTAAAAAAAATAAATCAAAATGAGATAGAATATATAAGAAAAAAAAAAAATTATCATGCAAGAAGAAAAAATAATTAAAATAAACAAATAAGAATGTAAATTAACATGCAAAATGAAAATATAACCATGCAAATATGTATGTATTTATAAATAAGAAAATTCTTATAAATATTGTAAATAAGAAATTAATATTGTATAAGGTATGAATGAACAAAATTTCGAATTTTTCAACTATCTTTCGTTTTGTCTGTTTCAAGGGTATTTTCATATATGACATTGACAAATACTGAATTTGAAAATATTTAATTTTCAAAACTTTCAGTAATATTGAGGGTAAAATAGCAAAATTTTGAAAGAAAAATTAGTATAATTCTATTCATCGAATTGGTGATACATAGTTGAGTGTTGTGCGTAAATTTTGGGATTATTTAAAAAAAAGGTATTTAAATTTAATTCTTTATAAAGTAAATATAAGATTTTTTTATTTTTTTTCATTAATTTTCTAAAATTTAAGAAGAAAGAATATATATCTGCTTTCATTATATTGAAAACCTGAAAAAATAATATACTTTCTTTTATATTTATTTAACGAAATGTAAACTGTATTATTTAAGAATTTTAAAACCATATTTTTAAATCAAAAAAGCAATTAGAAAATATATGTTGCACAAACCTGTTCTTTTACTGCCAATCTGGATATAACATTTGTTGGATCTATAGAGCAAGCTGTTAACGTTTGTGATTCCGTTAAAAAACTGCGATGATTCTTATTAACTCCACCTGCATTGAACTCTTTTTTCTTGTATACTAAAGAGTGACGTGTTAAGTAACTTTTTTTTATTAACGCCTTGCAATAAATGCAAGGATAAAAAGATGATGGTTTGGAATCAGTCGCTTGTCTCTGTGGTCTAACTTTTCCACTTATATATAAATCAAAGTTTGTTTTCTTTCTAAATGATTCAAAAGCCATCCTTCTTTCTTTACTTTTTTTTGGTAAACTTAGCAGTCTTTTGATTTCACATTTCTTACTATGTAACCTTTCCATATGCCGAACATAGTTTTTTGACGATACGTCGTCACAACAATATGGACACCATGATAACTTATCATTTTCTTTTTTGAACTACAATAAGATTTAAATTACAAAATGTTTTATTATTTTGTAAAAATTCAATGATAGTATCTTACCTTTATATTTTCAGTGTGATTCTCATGTGGCAGAATTTGTTCTTCTCCATTATTGACAGTCATATTTTGAGTTTCTTCAATATCATTACCAAAGTTGTCCCACTGGGCAACATGAACATCATCATCACCAAAAGAAAAAGCGGATGAAGAACTCGTTTCTGAAAAATCTTCTGCGTTGAAATCCTTATCTCGATCATCATCTATTGTCTCAGAGCTTGATGAAATAAAATCATTATTATTATTGGTTCTCTCGGGTGTTATTGACATTTTTTCGTGTTGCTGCTGATTATTTGACTCTATCAAGGATGTATTTATCTGTTTTGGAATGACAGAGGAATTAACGGACATCTGAAAAAAGTCAAAAAATTATTTTTTGCAACAAAAGAAATAATTATTCTACTTACATTTTCATATGATGCAATTGAAATCATTGTAGTACTCATGTCCTGAATATTAAAAATTTTACTAATTTCTGAAGTGTTATAAAGCTTGTCAACGTTTTTTTCTGCATTTACGTTTTCTTCATCAATTGTAGCATTTTCTTTGGATGTTTTTGGTTCATTTTTATGCTGTTGCTCATTCTCTAATTTCGTCAAAAAAATATTATTCTGCACCGGAATCACAAATGAATTAACAGACATCTGAAAAAAGAATAAATTATTCGTTGTCAACAAATCAAGAAACTTTTACCTACATTTTCATATGACGAATTTGAAATCTCTGTAGTACTCATCGCCAGATCATCATCAGTTTTACTGATTGTGAGTTCCAAAGTTTCATGAGATTTTTGACTCTCTCTTCTACTGTGATGTCTAAAATACAAGCTCCAGTTACTGTATCATATTTTTTTATCATCTCGCCAATACTTATGTCCTCAGTTATACCAACTTCATTGTCGCTTTCATTAAATTCATATGGATCTTTAGTCGTTTCTTCTAGTGGCTTGTCCGATACACAGCTTCTGATATTCACATCTTCGTTTTTTAACAACGTATTGTTACTAATGTTTCTTATTACGTTTACTGGCTTATTTTTAGATGATACATCCATAGAATTATTATTTATCCATTTCTAATCAACAGCAAATATTTAAAATTAAAGATTTTTTTAATTAAATGATTCACTCAATTAAAATATTTTTTTTAAATTACACGATTAAGTCAATTAAAATATTTTTGCATCTAGGTGTAAAAGACCCAATTTTCAATGGTCAGAAAAACCGTCGCCAAATTCGGTCCAATGTAAAATAAATAATTTCCGTTTGTGTTAATGTCTACAGATTTTACTAATTACTGTGTCCAATGTTATTATATTATTAAATATTTGCATGCATATAATAAATATTTCTCTAGGATGCAATAGAAACTTTTAAATTGAAACTTTGCTTTTTAACTTGTTAAATTGAAAATACATTTGTATAAACAAAATTAACTTTAAGGAAAGAGTATCACATTTTTTGACAAAATTACATATCTTATTATATAATAATACATATTAAACATTCATCATTTAAACTTACTTGAACATATGTCATCTTCTTACTCTGTTCTTCACCATTATCATGTGTGATAATCTTTAGTTCCTCTTCCTTAAAAAGACGCAAAGAATAAAACAAAATAAATAATTATACCCAGAAAAAAATATTTTCATATTAAAATAAAAATTCCATTGTATTCCTGCATATAATTTTTCTTCACGAATCTGCATCCAAAGACAACATTGCTAGATTAGCACAAACTTTAAAAATATCTCAAAAATGAATTTTAAAAAGTGTCAAAAACAGTTTTTGTGTACTTATTTTTTAATTGTTTTTAATGTGAAAATTAACAATATATTTTTTGATATATTTTGACCAGAAATGTATTAAAACTAGACACGCGCTTTAGCGCGCGTATTTTTGGCTAGTGATTCTATATATGATCTCAAAACATACCAAAAAAGATTCCCAAAACACTTACCTTGCACATGCTTATTATTCTTTGCGCCCTGGACGTCATTTTAAATATGGTTGACAGCAAAATGCTCTATTTTTCTTGATATTTTTCACATAAATCGAAGCACAAAATACAGATGTTTTCCAGCAAATAGTTATCCCAATTAACTATTTTTTTGCACATAATATTTCTTATTAGATCACATATACACACATAGGCGCACTATAGCGTGATGTAAAGCCGTAAATAGTCCAATTAAAATTATAAATTATTTTTCTTTGCACTTATTATACACTTGGCACATAACATTTGCATGTTACTTCAAACACAGAAAATATTAGACTGAACTATTGCTTTTTCGCAAACAATACTCCCATCTACTAAGAAGTGAAGTCTTTTAAAAAGCCATTAAAGAAAAATTAGAAACCAATTAGGAAATAGTGTATTACGTATAAGTAGGGGAGAAGGCCCGTCACTATGATTAAATGTAAAGAGCAAATGGCTTTTGCGCTCTTAAGCAGGTAAAAATTATTATAAAAACATGAGAAAATATAAAAATAAACTTCGAATTTGGATTCAGCGTAAAAAATAAATAGAAATATACTGTTGTAATGTTATACAGAAAAAATATTATTGTTTTTATTTTAATTCCTTTTTTAGTCATTTTTTGAATTTATCTCAAAATTTTGAGCAAAGTTATGAATTTTGACTTCAAATTTAGATTTAGTATAAAAAATACGTAGAAATATACTATTGTAGTATAATACAAAAAAATTTTCATTTTTTTTCATTTTAATTCGGTTTTTTAAAGTTTTTTTGTGTTTATCTCAAAATTTTGATCAAATATATCAATTCTGACTTCGAATTCGGAATCAGCGAGAAAAAATATATGGGAATATACTACTGTAGTGTAGAAGATAAAAATTGTTTAAACTTTGCAAAATGATGTCAATTTAATTACACTTAAACATATTTCAAAAGCATTAAAAACTCTTTTTTTGTCATATGGCACATTCTTCTATAAACTATATCGAATTAAACTATAGAATTTATTTCTAATTTTTCTGCATAAAATTATCAGTATGTGTACGTCCGCATAAAAAAATACAACTATGGCACTCAGACCTTTGTAGATAAAAATTTTTGCATAGTTATAAGGATTAAAATATTGAAGAGTTAAAATACTAATTTTAAGAAAAACTAGTTTAAAGTTTGAGTCTAACATTAGCTCCTATACTAATAAAAAATAAAAATATAAAATAACGCATTAATCAACGCGGGACACTCTGTAAATTGCTTTTCATCAATAAAAAACACCAGTTTGAAATACTATTGCAAAAAGAGATTTTCTCTTAAAATTAAAACGAATAAAGATACCATGCTATTAAAATTTAATAAGTTAATGTAATTTACATTCAATAAAAATATTAAGTTTATATATGTATATACATCATATATATATATA